TACAAGGGAAGTTTAGCTTTAGGCATTTTACTTTAAGAATGTTTAGCTTAGCTAGCTAACGGTATCTACCTGCTGCCATCAGAGCAAGTGTAATTGCTGCATTCGCACGCTCCTCGGATGCTCTCATTTCCCGAGTTGTGCTTTTAAGTCGGAATGTGAAAACAACATGGACACTCGCGTTACTACAAAGATGTGTTGGATTTGTATTATTAGAGCTTTCTGACTTGCGTTCGTGAATTTTCTCAGTCGAGAAATTATCACGTGCGGTGCCGGTGATCCTTACGTCCGTTTCGGAGAACAAATATTTCAATCGATCACTCAAGCATTTAAATGGCACCTAAATCTGCGTTCTGATTCGGTTCTAGTACATACCAGTTACATAGGTACATAGGTTTCGGTATCCAACCCTATTCATGACTTAACTGACCACGACATTGCATGCTTGTAGCGCTTTGATACAAAATGATACAGGCTACAGCGCGCGGCGGCACGCGATACGAGCACAGTACCTTTTCCGCGCTCATTAGACTCGCGCCTGGCGCTGAAGTGAAGTTGGAGCGCGCGTCTGAAACGTCTCCCGTTTGATGTGGTCGTAAAGACGCTCTGTGACTAAATTGTGTGTAAACAAAAACTTTTATTTTGGATGCGATTAATCACGTTTAATCATTTGACAGCACTAATTTTTTTTTTTTTTCTTCTGATATTTCAAGGGCCCTATGAAATACAACTAGAAATATTTTTTCCTGAAATCAATTGGAAATTCTTTCACATTCTCTGTTGTTTTAATTTTTTTTAGGTTCTGTTTTATTACAGAAATGAATTTATAAAACTTCAAGTTAATGCTTTGATTTTATAATTGGATATAATGTGACTTTTGTGCTCCACGACTGCACTTTTAACATATAATCTGCATATAAACTGCACTTTTAACATTTCAAATCCTATGATTGTGAGTTTGTAGTGCATTTCTGGGTATATCTGACAATAGTTTTAATCAAATTAAATAGAAATGCATGTGAAGTAAACTCTCAGAGCAGCTCTGGAGATAAAGATAATGTGGAATGTCCTCATATCGTGAGACGGCAGACTTTGCAGTTTAATAATCCCAGACACTAGTCCAAATATCATGATTTGAATTTTTTGTTTAATTGTACAGCCTTACTTTTGATATATACATTTTGTGACATTCCACGTTGTATAGAAAATTCCACCTTTATAACTGAATTCCAAAATTCCAGCTGCATTTTCCGCATTGGGGAAATCATAGGGTCCCATATGGAATCAAATAATTTCATAAAATGATAATCAAACCTGTCATATTCACCACACAAATGCGATGTCTTTAGTAGATACTCACTGAGATGCCTGTGTCCTTATTTAAGATGACCTGTAGGAGATGTGGGGGCAGAATGGGTGGAGATTTGAACTTCTCCTCCTGTTTGGGTACGTAAGCGTCCTGATGGTACGGCCCAGGAGGAGAGCTGGACAGGTCTATAATCAATAAAAACAATGTCACAACAACCCCTGACTGACTGTTTTTAAAACCACTTCTGCGTAATCATAAGTTATGTAGCAGATCATTTTCAGCTTCTTGTGATTAAACAGCTGTAGAAAAGTTGAGAAGATGGTTGGTTGCGTTCACACCTGACATGTCAGAGCATTTCTGTGAATCCACCATGAGCGCATCGAACACCTCAAAGTCTGTCTTCTTCACCTGGATGATGTTGTTGACCGTGCCGAGCTGGTTGGTCACCACAGGCTAAAGAGAAGAAAAGGTCAGTGTTATGATGGTTTTAAAGTACTAATGGAGGATGGTGATGATTGATATCTCCGTCACCTCTGTTGGGTCATGAGTCCACTGTCCATCCACAAAGAATTTATACTGGTGCTCACCCTCAGGCAAATCCACAATTGCCACAAAGTTGTTTTGACTATTGAAGAAACAGAAGTAAAAATGAATACAAATGAACTGGATTTAAGCTTTTTCTTAAAGACCTTAGTAGAATACTTTCCGCAGAAGACGTATGTATCCATTATCTGCTATAATAGTATTATTTAGGCCTATATACTATTATATTTTTCAGTTTTCATTTTAATTTTAGTTTAATCTTCAATTATATATTTATTTATAGTTAATTAATTACTATTTAGTAGGGCTGTCAATTTAACACGTAAATTAGGAGCAATATAATTATGGAAATAATGATGTATTACATTTATGAACATTTTTTTTCTCTCTCATTTAACACAATGATGACTACAAATATTCTTTTAGGGTTAAGTTTTCAACCCAAACTGATGTGTGTTTAATACGATTAATTAATCGGCACATCATCTAATTAATTACATTAAAAATGTAATCACTTGACAGCAGTACTATTTAGGTAATATTTATTTTCAGTTTTAGCTTTTATTTATTTGTTTATTAAACTGTTGCCGAAACAACATTTATAATTTTCGTTCCTTTTAAGTTTTTCTTCTAATTTTCATATTTTAGTTCATTTCAGAGAGAGCGGTGTGTGTGTGTGCGTGCGCGCGCGAGTGAGAGAGAGCGAGAGCAGTGTGGGTGTGTGTGTGTGTGCGTACGCGCGTGCGCGAGCGAGAGAGAGAGAGAGAGAGAGAGAGAGAGAGAGAGAGAGCGGGGTGT